GAGAGATTTTTAATTATTTTTATTACAGTATAATAGTTCTTTATTGATTTTTTAAATTATAGAAATATTTTTTTCATGCCTTGATCCTAAATAATTTATTTATAGAATCCCCTTTTCGGTGTCCTTTTATCGTTGGAACTTTTCTTAACGTGTCTTCCTTGTAAAACTAAGTTCCACCACTGTTAGAATTTAAAGAATCCTTCTCGAATGACAGGATTGTTTCCTCGAATGTGAATATTCTTCCGTGTTCAGCGAATTCTAATAAGAAGATATTCCCAAAAAAATATTCTCTTAGGATATAGGATGAAAAAAAATTTTTTCCCATTACTCACGAAATATTATTTTCTCGATGAAATATTTTCCAACAAAATTTCTCCGATGAAAATAATATCGAATACGGTAATTGGATTGTATTTATTCGTTTAATAAACAAAGAAAAGAAATTATTATTATCAATTAATATCATGCTTGGCCTCAGTTTAATCAGAAAGAAGCCTCAAAATCGAAAAATAATTTTACCGTTGTATTAATATTATCCCACAGATATTTGATCTCGAATCTAATTATATTAAACTTTCATATTTTTCAACAGTGAGAATTAATAGGGAATTCGTACAAAAGAATAAAAATGAAGATACGTATTCTTCTAGAAAAATTAATCTCCAGATTTTTCCTTTCCACAATTTAGCAAAAAAAGAATTGAAAAATCCACATGAGAATAAATTGCATAAACTACCTTTCTAACGAGTCTTCAGGTTCGTTTAAAGCGTTAAAGCTGATCTCATCAAGCGTGGCATATAAAGAAAGAAATACCCAATAAATTATAAATTATTTTTCGTCGTATCAATGACAAATACTTCAATTATTGTTTACACGAAGAATTATTGTTAACTTTAATCAATGAAATAAACTTAACAATTAATGAATATTGGAGAGAAGGATGGGAAATAAATTTAAACAAAATTAATTGCTATCGATCGGAATAAATGTATGGTGACGTTTGATAAGGAGAAAAAGCAAATCGATAGAATGTACGACGCGTAAGGATAAAATATTGGTATGAATATCACATTTATTCGATGACTCCTAATGTTTAAATCATATTTATCGAATTAATCGAAAAATTGTTAAATCAAACGGAACAAAAAAAGTGACGTTTTTATGAATGCAACATATTATCGTCGCAATACTTGCCTAGGTATTATATCATTGATATGATTTCACGTTTCGGAATGATATGTAAATACGATATATCGTTAAAATTGGATGAAATATCAGCACATTTGAATTTCTTTCGACTTATATTGATCAGAAAATATCGATAACGGAATAAATTACTAAAAAAAAAAAAAGAAAAAAGAAAAGAAAAAAAAGAAATAGCTTACACTCTCACGAATTATATAACCAATATATTAGAAAGATACGTATCTCTAATTTTGCAATTTTTATTTTTACAAAGTGGATTAAAGAAAAACGTTAAACAATTTCATTCGATCAATTCCTTTCATCAATATCAATCTCTGTTTTACGCTTAAAGGCAGAAATGGGGCATGCTCGATTGCTATCAAAGCCACTAGTATGCTTCACGGATTAAAAGCTCAAAGTCGACGCCTTTTCGATACCATCCATTTGTACTATTACGAGGCTTTGCTCCCACCCATTGTGATGAAACTCAATCATTCGAACGTGCTCGAGGTTTCGAAATGATCGACTTGTGCCGTCCACCACAGGCGAAGATGAAATTCACCGTGAACAAGCGATCCACCCAAGTGAATTATTGCCGCTGATCCGAAAGATTCGGCCTGCTGCTTCGTCGAAATTCATATTACCTTAATTGTTCTCTTTTTTAGATCACTCTTTTTGGAAGATCGAAAGAATGTGTATTAATATCCATTAATAATATTCACTGTTTGTTTTAATGATTCTTTGATGAAAGGCAAAAGCAGACGATCTCTTTCTTTCAAGATACAATCTAATTCGTGCAGGATCACTCTTTCGTTGAGAAAATATCGATTGCGTAACTATCTTCTAATTATTTTCTCAAGGATTTCATCGTATTGGGATATTCAATTTTCATAAAAAGTATCTGTAAATTTTCAATAATATCGAATGGACGAAGAAAACAGACAAAGATAGATACGTAAATTAGATCTTTGTTTCGGCTTTGACATCCTGTTCCCACGAATATTGCTCCTAATTATATTTCTGCCAATAAATTTTCGAAATGAAACGAACGAATGAAGAGAATACTGAAGACACGAGCATGTAGGATTTATTTTCTGGAAGCGTAATGTGATAACTGCACACACATTAATATCCACTATTTGTTTTAATGATTCTTTGATGAAAGGCAAAAGCAGACTCTTTCTCTTTCTTTCAAGATACAATCTAATTCGTGCAGGATCACTCTTTCGTTGAGAAAATATTGACTAACTATCTTCTAATTATTTTCTCAAGGAATATTGGGATATTCAATTTTCATAAAAAGTACCTGTAAATTTTCAATAATATCGAATGGACGAAGAAGACAGATCAAGATAAATAAATTAGATCTTTGTTTCCACTTTGACATCCTGTTCCCACGAATATTATTCCTAATTATTTCTGCCAATGAATTTTCAAAATGAGACGAACGAATAAAGAGAATACTGGGAACGCGAGCATGTAGGATTTGTTT